GGGGGGGGGGGGGGGGGACTCAAAAACTTCCTCAAACTAGTCCAGACGTTCTGAAAATTGTCGAAAACCTTTACTCTCATCAAAAGAATTAATTTCGATCGATAAAAACATGTTTTAAAAAATGTTGGTGAAATGCAAAGGAAAATTGTCGAAAACCTTTCCTCTCGTCAAAACAATTTATACTTTCGATCAATAAAAACTGTTTTAAAATTTGTTGTCAAATGCAAACTGCAAAGGGGGAACCATTGAGTACCCTCAGCTTAGCTAAGGGGGGACAACAGGACATTTAAAATTCTAAAGGCAATTGTCAAAAAACCATTTCTTTCATCAAGCAATTACTTTAGGCTGATAACTATTAAAGGAATCGGTTTTGATCTTACTTATTTCAACGTTGTTAGTCATTCCACAGGGATCGATTCTGGGTCCTCTGGTGTTCAATGCTTGTCTTGTATTGTTGCAGATGATACTACCATAGTGGAGTTATAAATGTTTACTAGGATTGGTGAACAGATTGTCTTCAACTAAAATACAAAAAATAGTACAGCTTCCTGTTTACAACTGAAAAATGCAAAGGTACACTTTGCATGTAAAAGTTTTCATAACCAATGCCCTAAATTATCTATTACCTCTCAACAGCGATCACCATAACTGAAGAAACTTGAAATGCACATTGATTTTTCACAGCACCTAAACATAACAGAGTCACTGAAGGCAGACATACATTCTCTGGGGGGAGGAAATAGAAATTAATGAACCCGTTGAAAAGTGCCTAGCTTCAAAATCTGCCCCTTGCCCCCCCTCTATCCCAGGTGCTATATTTAGATTATGCGAGACTACACCCTGTGCTACATTCAAATTATCAAAGAGTACAAGTTTTTGTACCAACATAATTACAAGCAAACCTGACATTTGAATTATTTACCAGTCTACCAGAAAAACACTTTAAAATGGGAATCATATGGAAGATCCTTGCACACCCACAATGTCACTTCTTTAAAATATAATAGATATTGAGATGCAAGTATCAAAACAAGGTGAATAACCGGTGCCTCTCTGATTAAATTAAGATTGAAAGAAAAAATGAATTGTCGAAGATAAACGAAGAAGTCTCCCGCATTGGGAGAGTTGGCATGTCTGTAAAAAATAGAAAGAGACAACACTCCCGCATTGGGAGAGTTGGCATGTCTGTAAAAAATAGAAAGAGACAACAAAAAACCAGCCATAAGTGACAAAATGTTAAAGCACTATTACCATAAATGACAAAAAGGGCACACTTTTTCTAGTCTGACATCATTTTGGGGTGATCTTCATTCTCCAAAATCGTCACAGGTTTACAGGTAAAATAACATACTAATATCCTCAATTTAAACCCAAAATCTATATACAATTTTGGACATAACCCTTCAGAGACCATTCCAGCCAATATTGCAAAGTTAATGCACATTGACAAAACAGTTCAATGTTGTAAGCAATGCTGAAACAACGTTTTGTAATTTACCATGACACAAGCTCAACATTTGGTATGCAAATTTTGTATAGAAGGAAAAGTACTCTAAACCCAGTTATGTCCAACATTGTAGCATGGTAGGATTTGCAAGAAGGGAAAACCAAGCCAAACCACAAGATGATTATTGTAGAGGCTACTCCCAATTCATACCTTGATCCTTACCTAACCATGTTATAATGCTAACAGAAACTCTAAATCCAAACTCTTGTTACCCAACAGTTTCATTTGGCAAGGTCAGGGACTTGCAAAAACGTACACTGTATCTAGACGTTTTAACCAATTATGCTGCAATGATGCACTCCCACAGGGTGGGTTAGGTAAGAGGGCCCACAGTAATTGGCATATGCTGTTGTGGTGACCCTGCCCTAGTTGGCAAAGCTTAATAAAATAAAATAAAATTATAAACGAGCTAGATTTAGCAAAATTTCTGGGAAATTTTGTTCTGGAAAAACTCTGCCATATATAGAATTCAAAAGTAGCAGCAGAAAGATATTTGACATACGCTACCACTACTCACTGGCCAGCTTAGTACCATCTGACCATTAATGACAGCGCTGGTGGAAGTCAAATCTAAATCTCTCTAAATATAAAGTTTCAAATCACTTTTAATTTCACACGTTATTTTTATCACTTTTCGTGTATACAACACCTTATCATATGCTTATTATATTTATTATTACTAATGTGGAATGTGGGTAACCGCAAACATTTTTACAAATTTTATTGTTCGATCAGATCACTGACATGGTACAACAAAAACAACATACATGTCTTTGAGACAAATATAAAAAATTCGATGAACTGTAGCCCATAGTGCGTCACAGTGGAAGTTTAAAGAGCTCAATGTGAGTTTTCTTAATACAAATTAATCAATGCCTTCGAATAATGAGGTGTTAATTGCTAAGGTTGTGCTAAAGATTCTATCATTTGTCTGCAAATTTGTTTAACAACTGGGGGTAACCACTTCCCAATAATGTGCTCCGCTTCAATTAACGAGAACATAAATTATAGAAATGTTTAGTATGTGAGTACAAAAGCGAGTAATTTTATCGTCGTTAGGGATCGCCCGAGACGCATCATGCAGAGTTGATAAGAGGTTACATTTCATATTTTCATACTTCAGTGTCTGCTTGAATTGCTCTAGTCGCTTGATTCCTTAACGCCATGTTATTATTTGAACCGTTCTGAACTGTAGTTTGTTTCTTAAATGTTTTCATATAAAAATTCTTCCATGCAGTACATGATTTAGATGCCCAAATCCACGCGCCGGATATAACGCCGACAAACAATGCCATGCAAATTTTTAGCATCAAAACTTTTGTATTCGGTTCAGATCGCCCATACAGCCAGTCCTCGCGATGACTGTACTCATAAAAATGTGCGGCAATAATGCAAGTCACGGGGACGGTAGAAACCGCCGAGAATAATCCCATCCTCGCGATAAAGCGATCAAGCTTATCGATTTTATGTAAGCGCTCTTTGTGAACAGTCAACCTTATTCGATAAAGCGCAATGAATCCGGCTAACAGAAATAAAGTGCCAATAATTAGATAGGTAAACTGCGGTCCAAGAACAAAGCCTGTCAGAGCTAGCAAGTCTTGATTTCCTACATAACATAATCCAGTTAATTCGTCCCCATCCACTTTACGAAATATTAACACAAGCACGGTTTTGACCACGGGTAATAACCACGCTACAAGATGGAATAAGTTTGTATAACTACCGATCGCTTCGAAGTTCCATTTCATACCGGCGGCAAGGAACCACGTTAAAGCTAAGATCACCCACCAAATATTTGCAGCCATACCAAAGAAATACAAAAATAGAAAGACAAAAGCACACAATGGATTTCCAAGTTCGTTTTGTGTAATGTACGATTCTGAGTCGTCATCACTCGCGCAAGCAACAGCCTTGCGGCCGAATATAACCCGTAAGATAAATCCAATGGAGTAAAGATTATAGCACAAAGCTAGCATCATTATGGCTCGTTCTGGGTAGTGAAATCTCTGAGTGTCGACAAGGAATGGTAGAAGAGCGACAGTCGTTGAAATAAAACAAACAATCGACCATATTGTCATCCACAATTCGGCAAAAGCTTTCGTGTCTGATCGAAAAATGCCATCCTTATCGCAAAGTAGAACCCAAGAATTCGTTCGCTCGAGATATATATAATTGCGACTGTTCTTGAAAGACTTTTTATCATTTCCAGAGTTTGTCTTTGTAGTAGAATACGGATATTTGAAGGTGGTATAATTGTACATATCACCTGGCATACACATTTCGTCTTTTTTGTTTTGCCAATGGAACTGTGTACAATTCCAAGCGTCCAACCAGGGGATTTCAAACTTCGCAGCAGTTGGCTTACATCGCTTTGTAACATATTCACACAAGGAACCACACGACATTATCAAACTGTTCGTCGCTGTCGAACACATTGGGGCATACATGGAACAAAAGAAAAACCGTACAGGTTCTGCACAAGTGGATGTTAGTAGCTCGTTGATCGTCATAAGGTTTCGTTCCACATCAATTTGGCTTGTATCCCCAAATATATTGGGTACACCTGTTACATTATAGCCGAGAGAGCGACATTGCTCGACGTTCATTTCTTCACATTTAGGCTTTTCTTTGTGCTTTGCACCAAAACTTGAGACAAAAGGAAACGAGATTAGAATATAGATTAAACACAAACGTGATGTAAAGCGAGCTGTCTGTATCGCCATATTGTGGAGTAATAAACAAAGCAGTTCCTATTATATACGATGACACATTTAGAATATTAAATCGGTGATGTTCTAAATCTTCAATGTTACAATTAAGCTAGAAGTAAGCGCACAGACCCTTCTTCGAAGCGGTGTCTGAATTCTGAACCAAAACGTGCGCGGTATTCAGTTAATTTAAGACGGTAAAGTATGCGGCTTTTCAAGTCTTAACTGGCAAGTGTTAGTTGTTTTGTTATTGTCAGGAATACGAGTAGCATGTCGACCAATCAGAGCACTGCGTTCATATTAACAACCACGCCTCATGTCCAATTTTAAATAGGATGTATCAATTAGTCCGATCAAAGTCAAATGCTATTGGCTGATCGCTGTCCTCTGGCCATTAAGCCAGATAAACAAGCCACACTATACCTATGGTTTGAAAACGCAAGATACACTCAATGTGACGCGTGTTGCGAATATGTAAAACAAACGCGTTAATTATTTATTCTCACAATGAAAAGCGCAAACGTTTTGGGTAAAAACTGGGAGATTTCACGCCTGTGCAACGCGGTCATGGCGCCGTGCGCGCTGACAGACGTGTTTTAATTGCAGGCAAGTAAATTGATACGTAGCACTCAATGTACAAAAATACAACACAATAATTCACATTCCTTTTGTCTGAGGCGGAAAAAATGCGATGAAAATCGAATACCAGACTCGAAAGCTAGACAACACTTACGATAAGAAGTCTCCTAAAAGCATTTCTGTGGCTGGTTTGGGATTTTTGGGAAAAAAGGAATCTGCGTTTCGAAAGTTATACTTTGGCTGCTACATTGCGCAAAATAAATGCCTTCGACCTTTAATATATTAGCCGCTAATTATAATGTCGGCAAACTCCTTGTAGAAAGATTTCTTAATATTTCGAAAACATGATATGATTCGACTTCATTTTACTTGCTCGCTCTTCATAGCTTTTGAACGCACGATAAAAATAGCCCTAATGCGCTTAAAATCTGCCAAGATCGTATTGCATCTCTGATAAGCACGTGAAATGCTATGAACTTAACTGCGCGCTAACATCGACTAAAGACCGGCTATTGCCCTCCTACAGTGAGACAAACTAACCACCAACGATTCTCAATTAACGTATAAACGGCACAATAGAGCTAAAATATTTTCTCTTAATTTCCCTAAGGCTCGCGCAAGCTGAAAAGCAAATATAGCGCAATCATTTTGGGATCAGGTTCAAGTGGAATGACGTGCTGCGTAAGCTGTGAAGAACATTCTTGTCTCTCATGATTTCTCACAATGGATTAGCCAAACACCTTGGATAAGTTTGGACCGAATCGACGACAGAACATGGATAAGATCATGGACTCTATACATACAAACTTTATTCAAGCAGGAGGCCTATTTCCATGAGGGGCGTGAATATAGATTTAACTATTTACAAAAAATAAAGAAAAATGAAAAAAGATAAAATAAGACTAGAATGCAAAGGGAACAAGAAAATACAATGATTTTTAATGCATGATCATACACGAGAAAGTCTTGCCTCATGGGGAAGATTATTCCAATGCGAGGCACCGTTATAACTGAAGCACCTCTTGCCGAATTCTCCTTTCGGCATAGGTAGTGCTAAATCAGTTTCTCTATTTCTTAGATTATATGTTATTTAATGTCTTTCATTATAGATTGAAATGTTTCTTTAAGATTGGGTGCGGTGTGGCCATTTATGGATGAAAATAGATTTAAGGTACTTTCGTCTTTCTTCATCCTGGCATCAAACCAGCTACACGCCCAGTTCCCAGCTGAACGCCTTCCCTTTCTGGAAAAATTGAAGGGAAAACTTGACATGTAATCTTTTTCAGGTGGTTCAAGACACCGACTATGTCGACTTATATTATCGCCGGAGTACTACGTACACCGGACTCTATGTATGATGGAGAGGGGATGTTGAGATCCTAGACCTAGGGGGTTTAAAAAAACAGCCATTGGGTGGTAGATATTTCAAACGGATGATAAGAAAACCAAGATTGCAGGAAATGTTGACATTATGAAAGTTTTCGTGAGAGAAAGATACTGAAATAATATGGAACGTTGAGATGAATCCAGGAATTTCGTTCAACAAATAAAGACCAGATACAAGTGCAGGGCGGTAGACATTGGACACATTACAGAGAAGATGAACTGAGGTGGAATGGAAGATTCTCTTGGGATGTCATTGAAAGGCAAGTTGAATAAAGAAGAGATGAGGTGGTAGGCAGTGTAGAGAAGATGAGCAGGATTATCAGGAAGGAGAATTGAAATACGAGTTTGCGTTAGTTAATAAGGGTTAGAGTGGGGTGAGGTTTAGTATTGTTGCAAGTGGCTGGTTCCTGATCCTTTTACGTTTTAATGATGACGGCCATCTTGAAAACCTGCTTCTAGTCCATCCCCTTTAGCCACGACCGTTATCAGGAACGATACTTTTCGTCTGTTTCATCCTTTAAGTTCCAGCTCCATTCTCACTACTCTTCTCAATTAGACTCTTCTTTCGATGTTAACAGAATGCGCACTTGGAAAACCTACTGCTCTAAATGCCGTTCTTTCAACTTAAGCTGTTGCTCATAATCTAAACTATTATTTTTTATATAGCTATGTAAATAGTGTTCTAGTCCTTGTCTTTAATGTATGTCTACTTATTGTATTGTATCAGGTTGGTCTTTACATGGGACTCATGTCCTGTTGACCATACCTTCAATCATTGTTATATTTTTTGTATGATTGTAAAGTTAATAAATAAAAAATACTTCCTGGGATGTTGGTGCCATAGTTTATAGTGTATGCACCTTTCACGTCCACATTCTATTCATGTGGATCAGGTGTAAGGTGGTAGAATTGTTGAAGGATTTGTATAAGGAAATTTCAAAATTTTAAACGTATATTAGACCTAAACAGGAGCAGTTGCGAAAAATGCAACTATCAGCAGGAATCGAACCTACGACCCTGCGATTCCGGTGCACCGGAATGCTTTCAGAAAGTTTCGAAAGTCGAAACATCCCACCGAAGAAAGTAAGGGATGAACACGTCATTGACGGAGATCCTCATATAAGTATTATGAAGAAGAAACAACTATGGACAGTTGGAGGATTATTTGAACTTTATCTTAAGAAGTAGTTTTATGCGTTCAATTTGCTTGTCTGTTGAGCCAGCTTATGAGTTCAGGCTATATGTTTGTACCATGCCCCATGCCCCTTGGCCAGAGCAATGGAATGTTTGGATAGCAACTCAGAACCCACGCAAAACATTATCTGATTAAATGATTGAGTCGATGTTCTTTTGTCCGTTGGTTTTGTTATTTCAAAGGATGAAATATGGTTACTATAAACCAATCGTATTTCACATGAAGGATATCCTTGGTTGTGTTTTTAAAGAACTAAGCTGTGTATTAGGAAATGTAATTATATTTCAGATTTTCATGGTTTTGGATAGATATGTTCAACTTTTCATGAAAAGGGTTCAATGACTCACTTGAAAAGTTAAAACACAAACAGTGAAGGACATGCAGAGATTTATTTGAAAGGTACCAGATGCTCGAGTACAAACGATATTTTGATGATTTATCTATGGAACACGATTCTTAAGATTTCGCGGAAACTTGGATTAGATTAACAACGTCTAGACGGCGGTTTTCAAAAGGTTTAATAAATATATGAAATGTAGGATTTCATCTAGTGTTTCCCAAAGCTCATATCGGCTGCCCTCAGGGATAATTGAGCAGCGACAGTTTACAAAATTTTCAACAGTCAATAGATGACGAGAATAATAGCAGTGATAAAAATGGTCATAATCAGTGGCACAAATATTGGGGGGTCAGAGGGGAGTTATTGCAACATATGACCTAATGACCACTTTTTCTAGCTAGAAATGTTCGTTCTTTAAAATATTTTGACTTAAATTTCATGCAATAGCTTATTTTTCAGTCTATCAATGTTTCCATGGATGACATTATTGTCACAGCTATGCTACACAGTTATTCAGCTATCATTCAGACTTTCAAGGGGGGGTGGGGGGTGGTGGTTCAGGGTTGCCTCCCCTAGTGTCCAACACTTGTAAAAATGGTGGTGGTTGTTCCAACTATGGTCGTAATGATAAGAGGGATTGTAAAGATGATGGTTATTATGGTGATGACATTGGTGAATTTGGCGATGTAGTGATGATGTTGCCAACAACTGATTATGATTGTAATTAATGGTGGTAATGGTGATTATGATGGTGGTGACAAGGATGGCTGTGAGAATGATGGTAGTGATGATGATGGTATCATGGTAGTGAGAATGATGGTAGTGATGATAGATGGCAATATGATGGAGCATTTGATGTTTTTTTATCCAAGTGTATGTGTTGGTTTCTAGAGGCACATTCTCAATTTCAAGATGCAAGATCATTGTATATATGTACTGCATGTGTACATGAGGCAAAAATCTTCAAAATAGTCACACAATCACCAACATCACATGATAAATTGTGAATGTTTATTATTAATATAAAGTAGGTTCATCTGTAAATACAAATGTAAGATATAAAAATATCTAAATATACAAAATATATAAAAATATATTGCTAAAATTCAAAATTCTAAAAAGTCAATCGACAAATACATATTACACTCAACTGAATATGAGAAAACATGTCTTCTTACACACTGGCAATAACAAATTTATATGTGGAAAAATATTTTGAAGAAGTGACTAATAATCAAACTACATGCATTAAGATTTAAGCATAAAATAATGAAATTTAAAACATATCTATTTTATAAGAGTGATAAATTTTTTCAAACTATGCACTCAAAAGTGACTCAAACAATGATGTGATTTAGTCGGTGAAAAATGAACTTCATGTGTTTTTTCGTATTTGTGCAAAAGTATAGGCAATATAATAAAGGTTTGCCTAAAGGTGGATTTCCCAGTCCTTGCGGCTCGCACGAAGCTCCTCGCAGCGAGTGCATGCATGAGCACTTTCATCCAATCACAATGCTAAACAGTTAATTTTAATTAGACTCGCAGCGAGCTGCAAGGAGCTTAGTGCGAGGACTGAAAATCCACCTTAATTTGCAGGGGAGGATGAAAGGTCAAATTATTTTATGGTCCTCTCTGCACAATAAATATATCAAATTTCATATTGTCTGTTGCCACGACATAAAATCACATCGCTCAGTAGGTGACACAAGTGTGTACAACAAAAATGGACAGGTTTTCCTTGACAAGTCCTTGTGTAAAGGACCATTTTGTAAAATGTGATTGGCCGACACAAATTTTCCGTCGGAAAAAATATTGAAGTTGAAAATTTTCTACTTTTAACAATATTTTTGGAAAATTTTCTGTCCACGGAAATTTTTCTGAATGATATTTTTGGAAAATTTTCTGTCCATGGAAATTTTTCTTGAGTGGAAATGGGCCTTTAAAGAGCTGGTGATGACAATGTTGAACATGAAAAACTTAAATTGCAGATTGTACACAGGAGCAAGTCAACAACATGTTCATTAGGAAACTTGCAAAGTAAAACTTGCTTGTAAGGCTCAGTCAAACCAGTCTGAAAAATACACAGTGAGATATTTTCCATATCTTCACTAGTGAAGATATCGATCTCATGACAATTTGCTTTTGAGCGTGAAATTTCACAATTTTTTGCTTTGGACTATATAATAAACAGAACATTACACAGTGATTTTAAGATACGACTTTTATCTTCTTGTGTTAAAAACAATATTTTACTCACTCGCTGCACTTATTCGTAAAATATTGTTTTCACCACTCGAAGATAAAAGTCATATCTTTGTGCCGCTGTGTAATATCCTCTCTATATATACATGTTATCATATGAGGGACGAGGCAATATCAGTTTTATCGCTTGAGGGATAACATCATATATGATATCATCCAGAAAGCAATAAAATTGATATTGCCTTGTCTCGACTATGATAATTAACCATTATGTACTTGTGCCTTTATCAGGGTAAGAATTTATTAGAATATTAATAATTGCCTCAATGCAACAATTATTAAAAGAGCAAGACAAAAAACGATATCAGAGACAAAAAACAATATCAGTGACAAAAAACGATATCAGTGACATATCATTTTTATGTCACCCTGTCATCACCCTGCTAAACACACAAGTATGTAATAAATATAAATATCTAATGGTCAACCTCTTACCAAACAGGATGTTCCAACAAAAGCAGGATGTTGTTGGACCAGACAGTGAACAGACTGGTTTGAATGAGCTTTAAATTAAGGCATAAGCATAAAACAACATATAAAAAATTAACAACAAAGACAGTCAAAACAAAAGCACAAGTTAGCAAGTAGATACACTTCCCATTTGTTCCTGCCTGTTTAACCATGGATAATAAAATAAATGGATAGGAAATTAGCTGACGTGACCTAATGTTTTCAATGGGCTGATGGCGTGATTGGATGTTGAAACCTAGTTGCAAATCAAATACTCAAACACGGCATGTTTAGCAATAATACAGCTAAACATTTTAGTCAAAGAGCAAATGAATATAACAACGCCATTCTACGATGAAATCTCTAAGTATTCCCAGTCAATTTTAGCAAATATTTCAAGCACTAAACAGTGAAAAAGGCATCCCAAATTTCGTTAAAATTGGGGACGCCAATTTCCTAGCTACAAATGTAAAAAAATACAAAACAAAGACGAAAAACATTTACCTTGAATACTTTGTCGTGGCTTAGGCATGTTTTTAAAACAATTAGACCAGTATATGTTTCAATATTACTCTTTTAAAGCGGAAAGTATAGCGAAACAACAAAAATGCCGAGAACTTTGCAATACGCGTGATGTCACAGATTGCAACTAGGTTGTTTTTGCTTACATCAACTAGAGTCCTATCCATTTATTTAATTATCCATGGTTTAACTAAGCAGTAATTCCAAGAGAAACCTATTGGGCATGGTGATTGACTGATGTGGTTTGGTGAAATTCAACTTGCGAAAAACAACCTACAACATAACAAGTATTTTCTGAACCCTAAACTTGTACTCACTGACATAAAAATGTTATGCTTACGTTTTGAATGTTCTTGGTGGTACATCAAACCATTTTTGCTTATGCCTACCGTGACCTGAACACCACCACTACATCCTCACATGGTGAATTTCCTTTCGAGATCAGGGGATGGCAGTGGATAATCAATGGTCAAATGTTTTTTCTTACAACATCCAGGTGCATTCTTATTTGTATTCCTACAACATGACCATTCCATCTTCTTCTTGAGCGCACCAACACTACCAAACTGTCCTGAATGGTATCGACAAGCATCAACCGGGTTGTTTGCTTCAACGTAAACCAACCCACATCTTTTGCATGTTACACGTCCATTGTCCTCCTCAACTTTTTGAAATTTTGCCAACACTTCCTCCATCCTAATCTTTTCCTGTTGTACCTTTTCGAGCTCAGATCTCAATTCATTCGCCGTATTTTCAGATTTCTTCAAAGATTCTTTCAATTCTGCAATTTCTTTATCACGAGCCTCAATAGTGTTCGTATCTTTTGTGGCATTTTTCCCCAACAAATTGTTCATGCGTTTCAAATCACTTAATTCCTTCTTTAATTCGCTTTCTTTGAAAACATATTCCGACTTTGCTCCTAGGGCACTGTTCCTTTCTCGAATCAAATTATTTTGATCGTCCTTAAGTTGATCAATTTCGAATTCTAATTGATGATTTTTCTTCTTAAGCTCAACATTCGTGGCATTAGCCTGTTCAAGGGCATACACAGTATCATTATATTTTTGAAAAATTGACTGGACTAAATTTGGATCTTGCAAGAACCCTCCATCACCAGAAGCCTCCATAACTTTGTTTTGTTTCACAGACCAAGTGTTTGCATTGATTTCAAGTGTGTTTGCGTTGGCGACCACGACAGCGTCCGTCCTAATAATTTCTTCTTCAATAACAACCTTTTCTCTGTAATTTGATGGGGGCTGGGTAGATTTCAGCTTTTTCACCAAGTCAACTCTTGGTAACTCACCAAGTAGTTCAAGAAGATAATCTACATCGTCTCCTTTCGTATCAATTAACTGCCGTTCTTCCAAAGCTAAGAAGAAGTTTAGTGCGTTCATACCCTGCGTTTTACTCTTTGGAATGTGATCTGCGGCCAGAAATAATAACTTCTCTAATTCATCATTCGTTAGCTCATCTCCGATATGTTTTAAAACAGTTCTAACTTTTGGAACGCTAACTTTTCGTCGCCCTTGTGGACTTCCGTTCTCTCGACATTCGGCCATTTTCGTGTGTTACAAATATTAATAAATACAAATGTTACAGTCAATTTCAGCTGACTTTTCATCGTAAGATTCCGAACTTCGTTCCGAACTTCGCAAATTCGTTGCCAAGTTCAAAAGTTCATAATGAAATTCACAAACAGGTTTGTAAACAAAGCCTCTGATTG